ATTGTCAGAACAAAGGTTTACTTCCTCTGTTACCCCAACAATAAATTACTCCCAGGTGTTCAGGAAAAGAGCAGAAGTGTGACAGGCAAGGTGTGCCAGGAGAAAAACCCCCTCCCTCCAACACCATACAAGCAGCTGACAATCAGTTTTAGGGAAGATGTTTTATAGCCTCTAATGGACACTGGATTTTCCAAATTTTTTTCTTGTTCTCCTGGACTCCCTGCCTCTAGAAAGCATAGGTTTAAATGACTAACCTCTCCCCAAGGGGGAAGAGAGATATTATTTTTCCACTTTAGAGCTGAGGCTGAATAATGGCATTGGGCACCTTTTAGAGCCAGCATTGTCAGAAGCAGTGAGCAATCACTCCCCATTCACCTTTTCTATACTCTCATCATTTCTTAAATCTCCATCGTATTTCACCTCACCAGTTTTTTTTTGTCATTTGAAGAGTCAGTTTCATCTTTCTTTTAGGAACTTCCCCTCTTCCACACCTCTCTTCTTTCCTGCTCTGGGCCTCATCAGGTTTTTGAATGTAATATCCAGCTGTCTTTCCTAACTGCTGAGAACTGAATGAGAGCCCAGCATTGCATATTTATCAGTGGAGCTCTTTTAACTAGTCCTTAAGTGCATTCATTACTCTGCATTTATGAACAGTGCAGATCTGCATGACTTTTAGTTGCATCATATGAGTGTTCTCCACAAAGTCAAATAAAAGCAGCATTTGCCGTCACCACCTTTTATTCCCTTGAAATCAGGGCTGATTTAGTGCAAGGTCATGCTCCACAACCATTTTCTCAGTCACTTAATTTCTTAGTTTCCCAAGGACTCTAAGGTAACACTCTGCTAACCTTAGATTTGCTGCAGTTCATTATCTTGTTTTACTCCCAAACTCTTCCTATTGGAACTGCACTTTGAGGCTGTTCCAAGGGCTTCTCAGTGAAGAAGGCAAAATCTTGCTTTACTGTGTTTCTGAAATCCTCTGGATCAAGGAGTGCAGCAGCCACTGGCTTTTCCCGTTTGCTGCTGCCACACATTCTGCCAGCTGCTCCTTTCACCTCACTCCTCTGCTCCTCCTGTGTCAGCCAGTAACACCAGTTACCAATACGCTTCACCATTGTCACAGACATCTTTTTGGAAAATCCTTTCCTTAGGATTTTTCCTCCTGAGAAGCTGGGAGGCCTCAGGAACAAAATGCAAACATTGATTATCTGCTGCTGTGGAATGCAACAGGTGCATCTGTGATTGGCCCATGTTGGATGTTTGTAATTAATGGCCAATCACAGTCAGCTGGCTCAGACAAAGAGCCTGAGCCACAAACCTTTGTTATCATTCTTTGCTATTCTATTCTTAGCTTAGCTAGCCTTCTAATGAAATCCTTTCTTCTATTCTTTTAGTATAGTTTTAGTGTAATATATATGATAAAATAATGAATCAAGCCTTGTGAAACATGGAGTCAGATCCTCATCTCTTCCCTCAACCCTGAAACCCCTGGGAACACTGTCACACACCATCTCACAGTGTCATAGAGGCTTATGATCTATCCCCCATCACCTGAAATCCAGTTCCACCACTGGTCCCCTCTAATGCTGCTGCAGAGCTCCAAAGGAAACCACATTTACCTCTTTAGGAGAGGAAATTACTTCACCAAACTTCCATTCTCCTCCTTTCAGAATCAAGGACAAAATTCTTCATCATTTGGTTTCTTTAGGCAAACAACCCACAGAATTAAAAGTTTCTACAACTTCCTGTGCTCTTGATGCTGATTTCAGGGAAGTGCATCCAGCATCAGTAGTGTGGAAGACCAAATCTTTCATTTTCATTTCGACATATTCTATTCTTACATGAAGCTAAAGCTTCTAGTCAGGGGACAATCAGGGTATATTGTGACAGTGTTCCCAGGGGTCTCAGGATGAGGGAAGAGACGAGGATCTGACTCCATGTTTCACAAGGCTTGATTTATTATTTTATCATATATATGACATTAAAACTATTTTTAAAAAATAAAAGAAAGGATTTCATCAGAAGGCTAGCTAAGAATAGAATAGCAAAGAATGATAACAAAGGTTTGTGGCTCGGCTCTCTGTCCGAGCCAGCTGGGCTGTGATTGGCCATTAATTACAAACATCCAACACGGGCCAATCACAGATGCACCTGTTGCATTCCACAGCAGCAGATAATCAATGTTTGCATTTTGTTCCTGAGGCCTCCCAGCTTGTCAGGAGGAAAAATCCTAAGGAGAGGATTTATCATAAAAGATGCCTGTGACAGTACATCTTAAAATTTTCACCTGAATAATATTAAGTGGCAGGAACTAGAGTTAACAGGAAAGTCTGGCTGCTTTTATTTTTCCAAATCTGGAAATAGTTTAGATGCATATCTTTTGAGGTTCAAGATTACCCTACCCCCTCTGTGGGGCAGTAACAACCATATTTAAAGTAAAAATACGTGAGGACCTGCAAGCTCTCCGTGTTGTCCATTCTAAGTGCATGTCTAATACTCAGCTGGAGTTCCCAAGTTTGTACAGTAGCAGCTATTCCCCTTGAAATCACCAGGAACACTGCATGAATTCAAGTGAAGCTGATGGGACCACTTTTGGAGCAGGATACATGACAGCTGAAGTAGTCCTGTCACAATCTGCCTTTTGCAAAATACTTTCAAAGCAGAGTTAAGCTATGCCACATCACAACACCTGCTGCTCTGATACCATAAAATAAACTTTGCAGATGTTATTTTTACCCAAATCTACTTTTTTGTTTGTTTGTTTGTTAAATACCTATCTCTTCTTATATTGATTGCAGGGCATCTGTTCATTTGCATGATTCTGACTCACGTCTTCAGTTCTTTATTAGCCTTTCTATTCTATTTATTCATTTGTACCTATATTACTGTCACAGCAAAGATTTTCTGATCTCTTCTGTATGTTTCCTCCTTCTGCCAGGGTCCATTCATCTTAACTAAAAGCTAAGGTTATGAAATATGAATTAATAGTTCTTCCAAGTCAGTTAAAACCTACACCAGCATACAAAATTTGTGTAATTACTACAATATGTTGGGCAAATAAAAACCTACAAAAGAGATTAACAAAATTTTCAGGAGTTTAAATATTTAAATCATATTCCACTGATGCAAAGACATAGTCCTGATGACCTCAGTGAAATTACCAAAATTTCTGGGTCTTTTAACCACTAGCTTTAAAAAGCCCAAGTACAACCTAGCTGAATTTCCAGATGCCTTACTCTAAAGAAATAGAAAAAAATCCAAAGAAAGGCAGCTCATCTGTCTAAGACAGGTGCAGGGAAGTGCTGCCATCTGTCTTATGATTCTCTTTGTGATATCCCTAAGTCTACCTTGTACTTCTGTGTGTGGTTCAGTCTCAAAGTGCTGAGAGATGAAGTGCAGGTATTTAGCAGCTGTTCTTTATAATAGTAAATCTGCCTCTACCTTTTTTTTCTTTTTTTTTTTTTCCAGACTCCAATGTAGCAGATTAGGATAGAAAATTTATTTTTTGCTGTTCAACTATTCAACTGCCTATATAATTTTAAGCAAGGTATGTACACCATTCTTTTCTGTAGTCACAATATTTTTAAACCTCAGACTTTCACAGTATTTAATAGATATTACCTAGATGAATAAAGTAAAAGTTTCTTTGAAAAACAAAACATATTTTTTCCAAGTTTTCTCACAGTTAGTTGACAAAACTATCTATTTCACAATTCCTGGTGGTAATTTGTATTTACTTTCCACTAGTTATTTCCACAATTTAATGTCAAAAAATCACATAGGATGTCAAAGAATCCATATCATTTTATTTATCCCTTTGTCATCTTGCAAACAAGATGACAGTAAGGGCAGCAAATAACACCTGAACATTATTTGTAGAGATGTATTATCAAAACATAGCCATGACATGTGTACTTCTATTCCAAGGGGAAATAGTCTCAGGTTGTTATAGAACCTCCAGCTGGGAGCACAATATCAGAGCTGGGCTTGGGACTTTGAGATCACATGAGTTTGCTTTCAGGTTTAAAAGGAAAAAAATAAAGCAACCCCAACACAGAAACAGTGCATTCAATAGCATTGTAAAAAAATTCCCAGGAACATAAGAAAGCCATAATCAATGTCCAGGATCCCAAGTCACAAATTACTCTTGCTTATGCATTTATCTGCTTTGCTTTATCTAATTTTTTTCTACCCTTATTTCTATTTTTAATTATTTCATCTTTTCATTTTTAACTAGAAGTCTGTGTTCCCTCGTTGTTGACTTTGCTTCAAAGCAGGGTCTGCAGTTTAGTTTCACACAAGCTTGTCATGAAAAAGCCATCAAAACCAATTCACACAGCCTGCCCTCTTCTCAGGGACAAAAGAGAACATCAAAGTGCTTTGTACTTATTGTAAACGTGTGACCCTCCTTCCCAGACTGCCAGGATGCAAATACAGAACTGCATTCAATTCTGATAAAATTCTCACAGCACAGTAATGCAGCCTGGGCTTTGTGCTTCAGAAAGGAAAGCAGCAGAAATTGAATACAGATGCAATAAACCCCCAGAATAATATTGTTCTTGCAACACAAACATTTTCACAGCTCTGAAGGAAAACATACATTTTAACTGTTTTGCATTAACCAGATCTTTTCATACCTTTCATTTCCTGTTTTCATTATTCAAATAGAAAACATTCAGAATTTTAAACAAAAATCACTCTTTACCTTTTAAGTAAGGGGAAGTACAATGAGACTTGACTTGTATTCACAATACAAGTGAAGTATATTAAATATTACCTAATTCACAATACAAGTGAAGTATATTAAATATTACCTACTTCACAATACAAGTGAAGTATATTAAATATTACCTAAATATTACCTGAACCTGATGCTTCCTATTTTCAGCTTTATCACTTATGATTTCCTTATGATCTTTCAAGAGAATTAAAGTAACTGCATCATTCTTTAAACAAATAGTCCACAAGCTGAAGATAAAACTGGAAACCAAGTTGCCTACCTCTTTTCCTAATGGCTTAATTCTTGTATTTTAGCTTTCAGCAAAGGAGGGCCATTTACTACAGTATCCCACTGGAGAAAAAAGGGGGAAAAAAGAATTCATTTTAGTCACTGAGAAACAAAAATTGTGGGTTTCAATATATCAAGGTTTTGTTCCATCTGGGAGTGTGAAAGAATATGTCATTTTAAGTTCTTAGCAATTTAAAGTATCTAAAACATATTCCATTTAATCATTTACATCTTGCAGCACTATTTTATTAAATAATACTTATAGCTTCTGGCTGTAATCAAAATGTTTTCTCCAAATTATCCTGCTTATTTCAAATGAAAACTAAAAATGTGAAAACAGAAAATCCAGTAAATATTTGAAAGGAAATGATCAATGAATATTCACTTATAAATGGCAGAGTGAAAGAACACACAAAAGCTGCTCTGAACATAATCTTCTCCAGGCCCTCACAGCAAAACCAGATCTAACCCATGTGCTCACAGTGACTTGTAACTGTCTTGAAAATGCTTTGATTATGAACAAAGACTGGAAGAAATTCTCAAGATAAGTAATTTTAGTCTGTGACAATAGTTACAGACCATTTTTCTCCTCCTACTTTTAAAAGCAACACACTAATGGAACTGCTCAGCTGACTCTTTAAACAGGAAAACTGGATGGATGGAGGTACAAGATAAAGCTGAACTAATTAAATATATGCATACATGGGACAACATTCCTGTCTCCTAAACAGAGACACATCTGCCTGCTTGTGCTCCAGGTAGAAAGAGTCCTTCCTTATCCTCTCATCACTCTGCACTAGAAAACTCTCTTCCATTCTGCCTTTTCCCTTTAAACTGAAAACTTAAATAAATCTTTAGACAAAAAAAATAGGTCCCAGGATTTTCAGTCTCAGGGGAAGGACATTCATTTATTTTAATCAAAGAGCAGCACAACCCCAACATCAGCAGCCTGTGGTTACCAGGCTGCTTTCTTAAATTGGGCTTCCATGATTTAACTCATTTGCACAATGGACCAGTGCAAGGAGGTCTGTCTAAAGAATATTTAAGAATACATTATATTAAAGAATATTAATATAATATTGTTCTTTATTATATTCTTAATATATTGTATATAGTATAATATATATATCCTTTATATTATATATAAAGAATATATATTATATATAAATAATATATATATTATACTACATACAATATATTAAGAATATAATAAAGAACAATATTATATTAATATTCTTTTATATAATGTATTCTTAAATATTCTTTAATATAGTATTCTTTAATATAATATAGTTCTCAGAAGGCTAATTTATTAATTTATTATACTATATTTCATTAAAGAATACTATACTATAGAATACAGAAAAGATACTTACTCAGTGCTAAAAAGATAATAATGAAAACTCATTACTTTTTCCAGAGTCCTGACACAGCTTGGCCAAAGAGTGAAAACAACTCACAGCAGAATCCAATGGAACAATTACCTGTGGGTAAACAACGTCCAAACATATTCCAGGTGAGCAAAACACAGGAGAAGCAAATGAGATAAGAATTGTTTTCCTTTTCTCTGAGGCTTCTCAGCTTCCCATGAGAAAACTCCTGGGTGAAGGGATTTTTCCAGGGAATGTGAATGCCACTCATGTCCTCTCCCTTTCCTAACAGCAGCTGCAGGAATGCCAAACTCCTGCAAACTCCTCTACATTCCATCTGGTGCCCAAGATGGAGGCTGTGCCAAGCCCCAGAATGATGACTTGTAGCATCTCCTTTAGCTGAGTGTCCTTTGCTTTATTTGGAAATGGATTTGTACTAAGATGCCTAAATAATTACATACCATTTATCACGTGCATCAACAGTTTACTGCCTTTGGCTGTCCAACTGATTTCAGATAAAGTCAGTTTGGATTTGTGTAAGCACAGGGACTAAATATTTACTAGAGGTAATGGCATTCTTCAAAAGAAATTATTGCATTGCTAATGCAGGCAATGCAATAAAAATGACTTCTCTTTAATATTTTATTTATAGTAATTATTTTGAGTCTCGGTGTTTTTCTTTTTTAAAAAAAAAGAAACTGGTGAAAAATGCTAATTTTAATGTAATATTTTAAAGTCTTATTTAAAATGCTGGAGGCATTTTACATGGCATTTGTAAACAGCACCGTTTTCATTTCCTTCTGAAAAGGAAATAGAAATGATTGCCATCATTCTTGTTACATTTTTTTCTTTTACATTTTTCAGTAGCAGCTTTTTTTTTGTTTGTTTGTTTGGAGGTGTGGGTTTTGTTGCTTGTTTGGTGCTGTTTTTCTAGAAAAATGGTTATAGATGGATCTGTGGTGGGTTAGCCCTGGCTGTTAGCCACCCTCACTGCCCTTCTCAGCAGGACAGGGGAACAGTGTAAGACCAAAACAAATCTGACAATACACAGGATTAAAACCAAGACTTTCACCTTCCTTCCCTAAGTTTTGGGCTTATTTTCCCCTATGACAATGACAGAAAAAAAAAAAAAAAAGTCTGAAACACTAGGGAATTAGTCAACAGTGTATTTCAGGCTTTGAAATGTTAGAGTGACAACTCCTGAGCATGCACCTTTTCAGATCAAGAGAATGTAAAGGCAAACACCATCAGAGATACTGAAGGTAGGGGGCTTGGATCTAAGCACACAATTCAAATGAGTTAGTAAGATACAAATCACTAAGGGTCATGTTCACTTCATGGGGAAAATCAGAAAAGTCACAAGGTCTGCACTTTGAAATGAGTATACTCAAAAAAACCAAACCAGTTTGAATTTGACTTTTTTTACAAAAAGATAGAAGTTCAATGCACATGAAGTGGCAAGAGTTCTGAAATTAGCTATACAGAAAGAGTATTCCTTATAATACATGAGTTCTATGAGTATTTGGTTTCAAAATTACATCATTTTTCTACTTTTTGTTCCCCATTAAATACAAATCAATGACACTTGTGCAATAACAGTAAAACTGGGCTTCTGCCAGACTCTGTGGCCTCACACAGGGTATTTATGGAAACAACTTGTACAAAGCATGGGCCTAGCTTAATCTTTAAATTCTGGGTTAAATTATGTTTCAAAAGACATAAGAAAGGTGGGAAAAAAAACCGGAATGATACTGAATAGAAAACATTTTATATATTCAAAGTTACCTTTACTTCTCTAACTTCTACAAAATTAAGCCAAACACTTTAAGATCCTCAATTTTGCAAGACTGCAAGAATTCATACAAGCTAAACACAGTGTTATTCTATTACCATGATTTACACACATTATTACCGTTCCACTCTGCTATAAAGGAAAGGAAAATACCTCAGACTACAGTATAGTTCTCTGTCTCCTTTTTAAATTGTTGAGAATGTTCTGGGCTGTTTCAATGAACACTCTGGAAACTCATTCCAGCAACAAGACAATGGTTATTCTGTGTTTAAGTAAAATGTAAAACCCATCATTACTTGATGAGATGATCTCTAAATCTATAAATCCTGACTGACAGCCAGTTAGTAATCACCTTTACCACTTGCCCACACATTTGTTTTTGTTAATGTTTTTGAACTGCCTTTTCCTAAAGACCTAATAGAACTTTATGAAATACAGTGACAGAGAACTCTGACACAGTCCTTGTTACAAAACATGCCTCAGATGGCAATTACTCAAAGGATGCCATGAGCTCAACAAAACCTTCAATAAATACAAGAGAAGTGAACATCTGCAGCTATTGTTTCAGCTGTAAATCTTGTGAATGCTTTTTACTGTAGCAACAAACTGCTAATAAATCCAACTTTCATTGCCAGAAACATATAAAGGACAGGATACACTTCATGATGTTTTCTCAGTGTCCTCCCTGAGCCCATGCACTCAGGCATATTGTTTCCAGATATATTTTATAGCCAGCAGTGATGCACTGTCCCCTCTACCCTTTCCCTTGACTGATGAGACAGAGAACATTGACTGAATGCCATTACCTGGCACGGCCTCCCTCCTGCTCAACAGCAACGGGAGGCTTCATGCTTACAGCTCATATTAGATTTAGCAGCAATCATCAGCATTAATTGCACATAGATCATTTGGCAAACAGACTTCTTTAAAAAAAAAAATCACCATGAAGCAAGGCAAGTGCTGCTCCTTCTACTGTGCAAAAGCAACATGTTCCTGGCCCGCTTTTAAAACATATATTTTATGTTTTAAAGGACTGACAGACCAGACACAAGGAAAGATACTCCATAAAGTCTCAGATTTTCAAAGTACTTATAATGCTAATTCAATAAAGTAGCACAAAAGTTAGACACTTCTCAATAACATTAGTTTCCACATTAAAAAAAAAAAAATTATTCCTACAGTAAGATTTAAGAAGCATTCACATCGCACATATATCTGAGGTCTGAAATTCTCTATTATTGTTAAGCTGGTTAAAATTCAGGCTGAGGGGGATGGAGGTACATGGCTTGTCAACAAGCAGTGCTCCATGCAGCAGTGGCTCACTGCTGACAGCAGCACACACCAGCTGGGAGGGGCAGAAGCATTCTCACAGAGTTTTGTTTGCTCTTCA